GTTTGAGTGAACGAATGAGTGTGTTTGATTCGGAGGGCCTGCCGGGGAATGCGGGAGCTATAGGTGTGGTTGGGGGGACCACGGACACGGGAGTGGGCCAGAACATTACGGTTGTAACGGGGAGGGGCAGATATGGCAGGGACTTTAGGGCTGGCCATTACCGGGGAAGGAGGGGTCGCTATGTCACAGCGATCCCTCCTTCCGGCCCTATGGGTCCCACTCCGAGGCCAGATGGCGCGAGTAGTCAGGACCCTGGTCTCCGGCTGATGAAGCACCTGAAATCCGTCTGGGCACATCTGTATGAGTGGGACTCCTCCCTCCGGGCCCAGCCAGGTTTCAGTAATACATGCCAGATTTGCCCCCTCGTCTAAAATTAAGTCCCGGACGAGGGGAGCCTTGTGAACAACAGACCTGGCATTTAGCGACAACAGCCGGAGACCAGGGTCCTGACTACTCGCGCCATCTGGCCTCGGAGTGGGACTCATAGGGCCGGAAGGAGGGATCGCTGTGACATAGCGAACCCTCCTTCCCCGGTAATGGCCAGCCCTAAAGTCCCCGCCATATCTGCCCCTCCCTGTTACGACCGTAATGCTCCGGCCCACTCCCGTGTCCGTGGTCCCCCCAACCACACCTATAGCTCCCGCGTTCCCCGGCAGGCCCTCCGAATCAAACACACTCATTCGTTCACTCAGACAATCCCCACGTGATAGTTAAAAACACATAAAATACAACAAATAGGTCAATAAAAGTGGGAGCATTCACTCAATCACACACGTATCCCATACATATCCCATGCAAAAGAAAGAGAGAAGAAGAGAAGAAGAAAAAGAATAGAAAGAAAAATTGTGCAACTATTAAAGTGCGAAATCAGGCAGGGCCGAATGGCTCTTAACATTCAAGATGACTGATGTCCAGCTATGGTCCAGGCGGGGTGTACAGGGGAGTAACTCGTATCCTCCTCTTGCAGGTCTGAAAAGTCCAGAACAATTGGAAGCAGCAGGGGGCCTTCTTACACAGATGTTGTCCCAAATAGAGCCCCAAAGGCAATGACGGATGATGATGATGGTAATAGTCAATGTCCAGTGGGGCTGTATCAGCAGGCCAAAAAGTCCAAACGCCGCGGCCAAAGAAGGCCAGATGATAAAGTACCACAATAGGGAGGTGCCAGATATCAGGCGGAGGAGCACAGGGGGAGAGCCAGATGGTGAAGATGGTAAACAAAGGGAAGGAATCTCCATAATCGTTGGAATAGTATAAGGGAGGGGGGGCGCCTAGGGGGGGCGTAACAGCGACAACAAGGCCTGCCAAACGATCCCCTTTGATGCCATCCAAGGCAGCTACCCCCTCCCTGGCACGATAATTCCCAGTTCAGTTCAATCCAAAAGGATCTATTAGGTCTCTCACCCGAGGAATAAAGATGTAAGACACCGGCCTTGTTAACACTGCCGGGCACAAACAAGCTGGTAAAAAATCCAAGGGCTCCTCCGGCTCCCCTCGATTGTGAAAAAGCAAAGCCAAATGTCTGGAAAAGGCCAGGAGATGTCCGAATCGTCGCCAGCTGATAGAGCGATGGGGGGGGGGGGCATCTGGGAGGAACGCAAGGCAAGCAAAGCCAACCGCCAGGTCTCTTCAGTGCCATCCGAGATCAGCCACCCCCTCTCTGGCACGACAGCTTGCTGTAAATCTAAGTTCGAGGCTTCCCCCGGTCGGAAAATCCACAGCGAGATCGAAAGACGCTGGGACCGTTGAAAATCGCCGGGGAACGTCGTCGTCAGCATGCCACCATTTCCTTTACAGTTAGATGGTCGGAGGACTACCGAGGGCGGTCGCGCAGCCTGGGAGCTGTTCGAAAAATGGCAACCCTCCAACAGCCGCCCGCTCGTGTCCCCTGGATCACCCTCTACCGTTGGAGCTCCTTCCCGCATCGATTCCGACTAGGTTCGGTGGTGTTTTTTGATGTTTTTCGCCTACCTAGTCGGAGTGAGGAAGCGAGCAGCAGCCATCCGCAATTCGCACATGCGCAGAATTTTTAAGACTTATTAACAAGACTGAGGCTGATTTGAATGTGGATTTAAAAATGGAAGATTATAACAATTATACACATAAAGATTTTACAATGAATATAGATAAAAGAAACCACCTGGTGTCTTAATACTTAAAAGATATACAGAAATAACAAACCAGAAAAGTGACTTGTATACCGTTCTTAGTTTGTATTTAGAAAAAAGATGTTGGAGGAGATAAAGAGAAAATTGAAAAAAATCAAGGAATCTATTCAAAAGGAATAAAGATTAAGATTGTTAAAAGTAAAATGAAGGAACATAAAGTGGGGTTATTTGATCAAGGTTAAAATGTATATGTTTCTGGTAACTCTTAATGGATTTTTGCTGATGAGGATTGAAAGATGAAGTTCCAAAATTTATTTATAAATAAGACTTAAGATAGAGGAAGAAGAGATCCTTTGTTGTATCCTGTTTCCCTGAAAATAAGACCTCCCCTGATAATAAGCCCTCCCTGAAAATATTGCAACACAGCAGCAGCCATGAGGTGACCACCCTTGCCGCCTCCTGCACCTCAAGAATAATAAGGCCTCCCCGAAAATAAGGGCAAGTGCTTATTCCAGGGGTCAAAAGAAAATAAGACCCTGTCTTATTTGGGGGGAAACATGGTATTTTTAGGGAATGTGATAAGGTACTGTGTTAAATAAAGGCAGGACTATATAGCTGGTTTATTTATTGTTATTTCTGGTAACTCTTAATGGACCTTTGTTGGCTAGGATTACATGACTACAATCTATTGATGAATAAAAGATGCCACATGGCATGAAGAGTGCTTATGTTGCAGCATTAGAGAAGAGGATAAGCTACTGAAGTTGTTTGTACTTGTTATGATGAAGGGAGAAGTTATTTCTTTATATATCTTTTTTCGTAAATATGATTTTTTTTCCTTTTTGTACTTTTTAATTTTTTAATTACATTTTAGTGTTACAATTTTCATTTGTGTTAGCCTTATCTTTGTAATTGTAAATTTTAATAAAACTACTATTGAAACAGAAAAATGTATATTTTTCATAAAATGCCAATAATAAAACACCAATAACAATTAGCAAAATCGGTCAATCTGATAAAACAGCTGTAAGTATTGTACATTTTTGTGTTACTTAGGCCTGTATTAGGTAAGCATTTTAGCATTTGGATGCAATCTACCTTCTTTAATTCAAATCCATTGTTCTACGTTGTGCCTTAGAGAATTAAAAAGAGGTCCTAACTGTCTTCTGTATTAAATCATTTTATATATTTTAAGAGCACCATTGTATCTCACAATATAGTCCCTGATTGCTACTCTTCTCAAAGTGTGGTGCCAAGAACTGCACCTAGTGCCTAAAGCAGAATAGAGTGGACTAATTAGTACCTGTCCTTTAAAATTAAACTTGTGTTGGTGCAGCCTAAAATTGTATTTGTCTTGTTAGCAGCCACCTCACATGGCTGGCTCATATTCAATCTTTATTTTTGAGCTAGCTTTGTTTCTACTTAATTGCCCCAGTACCCAACCTATATTTTAACTAGTTTGCTTATTAATATGTCATGGGGTAGTTTGTCAAATGTGAGGTAAATGTGGGTTACATTTGTAGAATTCCATACAACAGACAAAAAGCAAATAACATTTCATGGAAATTTAAAACATGGGGTCAACTATAGAAAATTGCTATATCTGAAGCTGAGCAGGGGTTTTAGCACATCTTAAAACTTGGGGGTAATAGTGGGAAACAGTGGAAAATTCTGTCTGTAGATAGATATCCACAGTCTGGTGAAGGTGATACTTCCGCTGTAGAATAACTTAGCATTTTTTTTAAAATTTGAATTTGTTTTGCATAAGACTTCTAAGAAAGTGTATTTTTATACCTCTTTAGAAACTGATAACAAAAATGCTGACCAGTTGCATGCTGGTACCTGCCTCCCAATAGCGTTGCAGCAGCCCTCCCCTCGCTCCTCGAGTCGGTAGCCGAGCTAGCAATTGAGTTCCCCAGACTTATGGTCCTGGGGGACTTCAATTTGCCTTCGCTCGGTGAACACTCTGATGGGGCGCAGGAGTTCATGGCTTCCATGACGGCCATGGGCTTGACCCAGGTAATTCGGGGCCCAACTCACTCAGCGGGTCACATGCTCGACCTCGTATTTCTCTCGGAGCAGTGGACTTGTGATCTTGGTCTGAGGGGTAATGAGATCATACCCCTGTTGTGGTCAGACCACTGCCTACTGAGGCTCGACTTTTGGAGACCAAACCCCCACTGTAGGGAGGAGGAACCGACCAAGTGGTTCCGCCCCAGGTGACTTATGGAGCCTCTGAGGTTCCATACGGAGCTTGGGGTTATTCCTGATACTCTCGCCCACAGTCCGGTGGAGACTCTGGTTGCTGCCTGGCACTCGGCAGCATCAGAGACCCTTGACCGGATCGTGCCACTACGGCCCCTCCGAGGCTGCGGATCCCGGAGGCCTCCTTGGTTCACCGAGGAGCTCCGGGAGATGAAGCGCCGGAGGAGATGCCTAGAGCACCTATGGAGGTCTGATAAATCCGAATCGAACCGAGCA